AAATCAATCCGCGGTCCCTACAAACACTAACTCCTGAAAATTGTTCCTCTCCTCCTCCTACGTAAGGTAAAGAGTAAATTAGATGCAATATTGCATTACATGCGGAAAATTCTACACTGTATCAAACGGACTGTTTTGGAATAATGCCACTATTATCATTATTATTATTAATGTGATATTTCAGCTCTTTGTGGTGTACCGATTAGTTTGTTGGGCGTCTATATGAACGATGCAGCCAAGGTGAAAAGCCTCGGTTTCTTTCATGGTTACACGCCTATAGTATGGATAGTTATCATACTTCAAGCATTCGGTGGATTGGCGATAGCATTTGTAATGAAATATGCTGACAATATTTTGAAAAGTTTTTCTATGGGTTTATCTGTGATTCTATCGACGCTTATCTCCTACTTTGTATTCGATGACCTCACTCCGAACATGTAAGTTGGAAATTGGGTTTTCTTCTTGTTGCGATCTGCTTTATTTATCTTTAATGCAGATAAGGGGGGCTCACTGACGTTAGACACAATTAGAAAGTACGGGATTTATAGCTTAGAATGAAGAAGGGAATTTTCTTTGATGTTCTCTGAAACTTGCTGCATTGCTTGTGAAAGCTTCATCACTACGACCAATGGCATCTTCAGAGTAGAATGTCAAAAAGTTAACGTAATGCCTATTCACTGTAGATAGCAGCTCTAAGTGACAGACACTATATGGCATCTCTAAGGAAACCGGTGTTGGTGAACATTGGAACTCTCTGAAGGCGATGTTCAAGGAAACGTGTACAACTGTTCTAAGAAGGAAGAAGAGACAAGACAAGGAATAGCCCCCAACGGACACCTACCTAGAAGCTAATAGAAGAGAGGAGGATGGTGAAAGAGAAGATAACTCAATGCAAAGATGGATAACAGAAGGAGAAGCCAAGTTCACAGCAATGTACACTGCACTAAACAAAGAAGTGAAGAGTGGCCGGCAACTGAAACAGAACAGGCAGGCCACAAGTGAAAGAGACCTCAGAACATTATATCAGATAACCAGGCTGGTCGCTATCCGGGAAGAGCTCAACGCGGGTGAACCCCGTAAAAGATGTTCAAGGGAACCTAATGACCAAGGAGGAGAAACAAATAAAACAATGGGTTGATCACTGCAAAGGACTCTGGAATCGACCATCACCCGCAACTCGTCCAGAAATACCATGAACAGCTCGCATGGAATTGCCTGCCAGTGGACACCAATCCTTCAACTAAATCAGAAATCCTAAATCCGATCAAGTTACTGAACGTTAGCAGGAACGGCGACAGGACCAGACGGAATTCCCCACCCACTCGAATCACTGAAAACAGACCCAAAGACTGCAGCAGATATGCTCACGCCATTGTTGAAAAAGGTTTGGAAAGAAGGAAAGTACCTACCGATTGGAAGAGCGGCTACCTCGTCAAATTGCCAAAGAAGCCCGACCCAGGTCTGTGCAAGAACTGTCGTGGAATCATGCTCTTGTCCACGCCAAGTAAAATTCTAAGTCGCATCATCCTGAAGAGAATAAAGGATGCACTAGATACAGAAATCCGCCGTACTGGAACAAGCTGACCGGAATCAGGAAAGACAAATCATGTGCTGATCAAACCTCAACTCTACGCATCGTCATCACAGAACAAAACATGGTAAAGCAGTCAAACCTCTCTCTGCTTCAACTTCATTGACTTCGAAAAGACCTTCACCAGACAGCGTTGACCGAGACGTAATTTTCAAACTACTTCAACACTTTGGCGTGCAGTGCTCAAGTCTTTATCAACCTCATTCAACAACAGTCATTTGTTAGGTGATCCACAAAGAAAAACTCAGCAAACGGTTGAAGTGAATACTGGAGTAAGACAACGCTGCCTATTATCACCGATGATATTCGTAACTGTGGTGGACTGGTGCACCTAGAAGACTTTGGGTAGCAAGAAGGACGTTGCACTGACTCATAAGAAGACTTTAGAATATCTGAACTTCGCCGACGACTTATGTTCAGTGGAACACAAACTCGAAGACTTACAGGCAAAACTAACAAACACAATTGTATGTGTCTTGAAACCAGGTTGAGTATGCTGTCAACTTATTTTCTCAAGCACCAGTGTAATATAATTGGACGATAAAGCTGTTCACTTGCCATCAGCTTACAAAATTTACTACGAAGAAAATAGGTTAGCAGATAAAAAACAATTGATAATATTATAGTCGCATGAAGCTTATACACTACGGATTGATTAACGTTACTAGTTAGACATCACTGAGGCCAGATCAACCACAGGCAGGCGCTTGCTAGCCGCAGACCGAAGTGATCTAAACATCGAACAGCCGTTTCACTCGTTTCGGGCTAAGCTCGTCAGAAGTCGTCTACGCGACTTGACTCAGCTCAGAGAGCCGAATCAATGGAAACCAGCCAATTTCTGGCTAGGTACATGGTATTACATCTAATCGATTTCACAGTTTGCAATGCACCACTGGGCTGAACACTTCAAAAGACTACTAAACCGACCGCCACCTACAACGCGCCCAACAATACCAACAACGGAGACCGAGCTACCTGTGAACACCGACCCCCCGACAAAATCAGAAGTCCTGAAGGCAATCAAGATGCTAAGAGCTGGAAAAGCAGCAGGACCAGATGGAATCACAGCAGAAGCATTGAAAGTGGACCCGGAGACAACAGCGAACTTGATGACGCCACTACTGGAGAAGGTGTGGAAAGAAGGCAAAGTACCCGAGGATTGGAAGAAAGGATACTTATTCAAACTGCCAAAGAAAGGAGACCTAAGTCAATGCAAGAACTGGCGCGGAATTATGCTCCTGTCCATCCCAAGAAAAATACTAAGCCGCATCATCCTGGAGAGAATCAAACATGCCAGCCTGGATGAAAAACTTCGACCGGAACAGGCTGGATTCAGGAGAAACAAGTCATGCATTTATCAGATCTCCACACTACGGATCATCATTGAACCAAGCTTAGAATGGCAGTCACCTCTCTATCTCAACTTCGTCGACTTTGAAAAGGTATTCGACAGCGCAGCGTCGATCGAGAGGTGATTTGGCGACGACTTCGCTACTACGGGGTGCCGCCGACAGTTATACATCTCATCCAACAGTTGTATGACAACGCTGCATGCCAAGTAATCCACAACGGGAAACTCACGGAATCCTTCGAAGTGAAGACAGGAGTAAGACAGGGTTGCCTACTATCGCCAATGATTTTCCTGATTGCGGTAGATTGGATAATGCGACAAACAGCGGGCAATGAGGAAACAGGCATAAAATGGACTCACACAAAGAACTTGGAGGATGATATATGTCTGATTTCCCACAAACTGGAAGATATGCAAGTGAAAAGTAACAAGTTGGCGGAAGAAGTATCAAAGATAGGACTCCAGGTGAACATAGAGAAAACGGAGGTGATGAAGATTCCTGGCCAACACCAACAGCAACAACAACAGACAGCAATCAGCATAAATGGAAAGAACCTGAAAGAAACTACCTCCTTTACCTACTTGGGAAGCATTGTTTCAACTACAGGCGGAACTGACGAGAATATCAAAGCAAGGATCGGGAAGGCAAGGCAAGCTTTCATTACTCTCAAGTCTGTGTGGAGGTCAACAACATTCAGCGTCAAAAATAAGATCGGGATTTTCAACTCCAATATGAAGTCAGTACTACTATACGGATCAGAGACTTGGCGTGTCACAAAGAGCACCTCAAACAAGCTACAGACCTTCATTAACAGATGTCTTCGCTCAATACTCAAGATCAGATGGCCGGAGAGTATCAGCAACAAAGATCTCTGGGAGCGAACCAACCAGGAACCGATTGTGAAACAAATAGGCAGGAAGAAATGGAGATGGATTGGCCACACTCTGAGGAAACCAGCAAGTGACATCACTAGACAAGCCCTCGAGTGGAACCCGAAAGGGAAGCGACGAGTTGGTCGTCCAAGGGTGACCTGGAGGAGATCATGTGAAGAAGAATTGAAAGCGTATGGGCAGACTTGGAGCCAGGTGAAAACTGTAGCAGAGAACCGAACGCAATGGAGACGCATGGCTGAAGCCCTATGTTCCTCTAGGAACTAAAGGAAATAATAATAATAATGCACCAATCGCCATAATGGAATTTTACTCCATCACCATAATGCCCAAGTTCTATTCGTATACCATTAATCTCCCCTTGTTATAGTACTGTTAGCATTAAACAATGATTGTAACTATGCTAACTTATGTATAAAAATGCGAGTAAATATCTTTTGAGGATGAAATCACCGTAAAGATATCTGTCCTCACACGTGACCAACATGGGATACAGCCGAGGATGGGTAGACTTGTTGCCGTCCTCTCGAAACACGTTCATGGCATCTGCCTGGGAAGTACTATTCACCACCGCCCCCATGCAGTGCGGGGCTTCCTTACAAAACCCTGATTCCAAAGCTTAGGTGTACATACGCTAAAGAATTTGAAAGGATGACCCTATTTTGTGGTCACCGATAACTCCGGTGGTGGACCAGTCAAAGGCTGGAGAAGGCGTAATCCCATAAGATGACCACCACCTGCTTCTGTTTGTGCATCTGGAAAAGCATCCCAACCTTCGCATCTCTCAGGGCTCAGATAATGTAACATGTTTGTGGTTTAATAAGCAATAAATATCTCTCTCTCTAAGTTCCTGATGGCTATTTTCCACGATTTGAATGCATTCTCTGTCATGCATCATAAGAAGCGCATATCCACATATTATTATTATTATTATCATTATTTGAATTTTCAATTAGATATTTGTTCCTCGGATCCACGCTAGTCATCAGTGCCACTGTGCTTTATGGTCTTCCAGCCAATTATTGTAGTTTAACTGATGCCTGTACTACAAGCTCAGATGTAAATAAGGCGACAATTTAAGCGGTTGGATTGGAGATTACAAGAAACAAAATAAAGAATGCAAAAAACTTAGCCCTTATTATTATTAACTGTGAAAAAAAAATTATATAACCTTCTCAAATCTGTATATTTTTTTCTTCTTTTTAGCAGTGAATAAAAATAACCTTTTGTTAAACAAAAATTTCACGTTATTTTATTATGGTACTGTACATGTATGCTTATCAGATTCGGCGTATCGGCCGACACAACTAGACGACGACTGTTCATTAGTATCTTCCGTATTCGAGCTAAGCAGCTCTATATGAATATTATCCTTACGAATTACTGACGCTATAGGTGTAGAGAATTCTTCAGCAGCTTTTAAAGCCGATTGTTCTGCACATTCTGGCGATTGACCATTGTCTAACTCTCTAAAATAGGTTAAAGCAAATGCTAGCCTGTCATGTATAATATTATGATAGGGATCTAAATCAGCCAGTTCATTTCCAAACTCTGCACCCAATAGATCAACAACTGAGGATGGATAGGAAAGATTGTCAGATTGCTTTTTGTCTATTGTTGTTGGCGGTGGTCCATGATATCGAGGAGAATGTTGTGCCAGACTAAGTCCACTTAATGCATAACACGTGTGATAAGGATCAGGATTTGTTCCAGGCTTATCAATCAGTCCACCACCGTCAAAAGTCGGCATGTTCTGTTCCGGACTTGAACTTCTCTTCATAGATGATGTTTCACTTGAAGAGTCGTCTTTAGTATGCACACTCAAACCTGGACGTGTATAAGATACTTTCTGACAACACAGTAGTATATATTCCTAAATACAAAAGAGAAAAAAAACAACAACGAAATTATCATCATTGTCGTTGATGCACTACTAAATGAATTTGAGTAGTTCAAAATAATCAAAGTGCCAGTATTCTCACTCATAATTACTGGTTAAGAAAGACACTGGTTATTATTAGATGGTTGGAGGCGATCGGCAGGAAGCCTTGGACCTGGGTTTGATGCTAGCTGGTGCTAACCAGTCAGTCAGCAAGGTGCGTGTCTGTAACCTTGAAGGAAATCACGATGCCCCTTCTGAGATTCGAACCCGTGTCACCCAGTGCTACAGTCAGAAACGTTAGACTACAGAGGTATTCGGGCTCGCGATTGAATTCCTGTAGGACTGTATTGGATCTCAGAAGGGATGTGAGTTCCTTTAAGGCTGCAGATACATGATAGCAGTCTTGTGATAATACCATCATTCTTAATTGTATCTTACACATCATATCAAGTATGCTCATTCTGAAAACCATAACTGACTGAGTTTCAACGGAGAACTTTGCAAAGAAGTGCAGCTGTTCAAGTTGTCACACTCCAAGTAGCAGCACACAAATGTAGACAAAGAGATTGATAAGAACTATAATAAACAGAAATGTGGGGGGTGGGTGGGAAGGAGATAGAATATGAGCATGGAAAAAAATCAGGGTGTATTGGATATGGAAGTTCATAAAGAGTGAATGCATCTGCGCCACTGGCAACGATTTAGAGGAATATCACCAATGGTCGTCTCCAGGGAGTAGTTCTTAGTGTCCCGAGGACAACAAGCTGATGCCAATAAGTGAGTCAAACTGATTGTCAGAGATTTTAAGGACTGACGCCGGGTTTTGGTTTGGCTATCCCCAACTCCTTCGCGAACCAACCCTATATCAGCTGACATCGCTCCTCGAGGAAGGCAGTGGCTCGGTTTGCGTGCAACACTTGTCCTACCCATCTCAAACGATGCAGCTTCACATTTCCATAGATTGATTCAGTCTCCCTCAAAACGATAGCTAAACCGTATAATAAGTACAATATCATCCTAGATTGATGCTTCTGTTTATTTACTATATGACATTTGTGCTCAAGTGAAAACTCACGTCGCGCGATAAAAAAATAGCGTTGGAATTCAAAGATCACTGTCCGTTATATCATTATTGTTTCCTTTAATACCTAGAAGAACATAGGGCTTCAACCGCACATCTCCACTCCGTCCGGTTCTCTGCCAACGTTTTCACCTGGCTCCATGTCTGCCCACGTGCTTTCATCTCCTCTTCACATGACCCCCTCCCCCATGTCACCCTCGCACTAACGACCAACTCGCCGCTTCCCATTCGGGTTCCTCTCAAGAGAGAGAGAGAGAGAACCTCTCGTGTGATGTCACCTGATTATTTCTTTTCTCAGAGTATGGCCAATCTACCTCCATTTCCTCCTCCATATTTGTTGCACATTTGGTTCCTGCTGGGTTGGTTCGCTCAGTGCCAGACATCCCATCGTGTTGCTGATCTTTTCTGGCTGGCCATCTGATCTCGAGTGAAGACAGCTGTTGATGAAAGTCTGTAGTTTGTTCGAAGTGCTCTTCGTGACGCGGCGCCAAGTCTCTGATTCGTATAGTAGCATTGACTTCACATTGGAGTTGAAAAGCAAGATCTTATTTTTCGTGCTGTTGACCTCAACACAGACTTGAGAGAAATGAAAGCTTGCTCTGCTTTCCTGATCCTTGCTTTGATATCCTTATCAGTTCCGTCAGAGTGTAGTTGAAACGACGGTTCCCAGGTAAGTAGGTAAAGGAGGTCGCTTCTTTCAGAATCCTCCCATTTATAATGACTGTTGTTATTGCTGCTCCCCGCAGCCAGGAATCTTCACCTCTTTTGTCTCTATTTTCACCTTAAGGAAGTCCTATCTCCTCTGGATGCCTTTTTCCTTATGATTGCAGTGAAGATATCCTTTGAATCCTGATCCTTCAGTTTTTGAGTATTGAACTTGGTTTGTGATCCATCTTCAGCACCTGTTTCTTTGACTTTTTAATTTGATTTGGAGTACTCCTTGTACGAGATAGTGGTGTGAGCTGACGTCTGCTCCTCTTCTTGTGTTGTCTGGTCTCAGTTTGGCGATCATGTCACCCATTAGAATTTTAATGTCACAATTGTTGCCTATAGTACTCTTTTTTCTTTTCGAGGTCTGCGTTGTTTGTGGCTGCATAGCATTGTATAATTGTCACTCTCCTTTCTTTTGAGTTGAATATGGTGGTCATTATCCTGAGCGAGATCGCCTTCCATTGTATCAGGGCCTTCATTGCCGTCGGTGACATCATGATAGCCACAACCTCGGTGTGCATGTGGTTGTCTTCTGGGTGACCGGAGTAGATCACTGACTCTCCCATTGATAATTTTGTGAGTCCAATCCCATTCCGTACTCTTTCACATATTCCCAGTACTTGAATACCATATCTTATCAACTCATTTGCAATCTGCGCAGCTTTGCCAGTCTCATACATGGTGCGGACGTTCCATGTCCCCTCTCTCTTTTACATAATACTTAAAGGTCACACGTGATCTTTAACAGAGGAAATTAGCTGTGTTTCTGAAAAAGTTGTACATGAGACTGTGGTTTCATCAGGCACTTATATGTAAATGTAGGCATAATAAGCAACAAATGGTTTATAAAGCTGGATTCAATGAATTCATTGAATTTGGGTAGAACTGTTCAGCAGAAAACTTAACATACAGTGATATATACATATATAAATATATATGACTTGTGCTAATGATAAGATTGATCGCATGAAGGATTTCATCATGAGCTGACATCAGTTAGAGAACCACTGGAAAACCTGGGAGTACTGGACAGATGTTTCGTCCCAATTTGGGACTCTTCACAGTACTCACTCACCGAGGTTCGAACCCAGGACCTTCTGGTTACAAGGACCATTGGATCGAGGGCCAGTGGTTCAATGGTCTACGAGCTCACTAGCCTTGTAACCAGAAGGTCCTGGGTTCGAACCTCGTGGGTGCGTACCGCTGGAGAGTCCCAAACTAGGACGAAACATCTGTCCACTACTCCCAGGTTTTCCAATGGTTCTCTAACTGAAGTCAGCTCATGATAAGATCCTTCATGCAATCAAACAAAACCCCTTCAAGACCAATACTTGAAAATGATAAGATTGATTAAATATCGAAGAGATAGATCTGATGTCAAAGAGAGCACGTGGTTCAAAAGTTGCGACGGAACATGGGAGACACGAAAAGATGACAAAAAATAAACAATAGAAGGGAGCAGAAGCAGCGCAACATGGAAGATCAGTGCAAATGACGATTTGGAGATAAGGTATGCATAATATCGCTACACACAGATAACAAATTCCAAATAGACATCCCTTTGCCAAATCGTTTGTCTTCTACCGTTACATATATGCTGTTAGAAATACACTGGGAGATATTTGACTGACAAGTCAATAAACTACATTGAATCAGTCACGCGAAACTATAGGTGCAAATGATTTCCCAGTCATATTCAATCAGATAAAAGGGGAGGGGGTATGTGAGAGATTATAACTAAGATAATAATGCATTACGGTTCATTTGCGTGTCAACCACACAGATGGTTCGATGGGGGGGGATTCGATTCCCGATCGACGAGGCACCCATTTACTTCGCTAAGCTAGTAATCAAACCAGTAAAGAGTGAAGGTTGGGCATGAGGCTAGCAAACTCATACCGTGAAAAAAAAATACCACAACTGCTACCAAAACTTCAAAACTGAAGTTGATGCCTCCTTGTGTTCCGCTGAGAACGTAATGAAATTTTGAAAAAAAACGGTTCAGTAGTATCACTCAAATGAACAATTCGTGTTAACAGAGAAGGTATTTGAAAATAACGAGAATTGCACATTATTACTTCTGGTCACGCAGCACATCAGCACAAACTTCGACTTCAGTCATACATAAAGTACGATCAAGCTGTCTGTTCTAATCGATTTCGCCTACAACTTCTTCATGCAGCCGAAGCCTAAGCAATCCAAAAGCAAAAACCCAAACTTTGTGTTCAGAAATGCTCTCTCTCTTGCGCGCTCTCTCTAGCCTCCTCTTTTATTGCTGTGGCCTGAAGGCGTTATACTTTGTCTTCCTGAATAGCTGTATAATAACCTCTATATGTAGACCTTTTTGTTGTCTGGTTTCTTATCGTTTACTTCGACAGGATTCTACACCGACCCTCTTGATTATAATTAAGATTATTCTTAATTTTTACAAACACCGTTATTACTTGTACACTTTGACTTATTTTTGTTACTAACTGACAATATATATATATATATATATATATATATATATATATATATATATATTGTCAAACAAACTGGTTGAAGAGGCTGGAAGCGAAGACATGACTCCAGGTGAGCAAAGAGAAGACAGAAGTGATGAAGATAACCAACAAACAGCACGAATAACCATCAACAGGAGAGCTTTGAAAGAGGTCACATCCTTCACTTCTCTAGAAAGCATGGTTTCAACCACAGCTGGTGGAACGGATAAAGATGTGAAAGCCAGTAAGCTAGCCAGCTAGAATCGAAAAGGCAAGATACACCTGCATCAATCTGAAGTCGGTGTGTTAATCTTCTGCACTCAGCCAGCATAAGGAACGAGATTTGAATTTTCAACACAAATGTTACGCCAGTCATCGCTTCTAAATGGGTCAAAAACGTGGCCAGCGAGTCACGGAAAGCATCTCCAACAGCCAGCTTCAGACTTTTATCAACAGCTTTCTTCGCTGGTTGCATACTGAAGATGTGAAATGGTCAGCGCACCGGCCAGAAAGAATTAGCAAGAAGAAACACTGGCTGGCTGGCAACAGACCCTAACCAAGAACCGATCGCTCAACAAATATGTGGGAAGAAATGGAGACGGATTAGACATACGTCGGATGGCCATCATTTGAGTGGAACCCGAATTGGAAACAATGAGTGCGCCGTCCGAGAGAGACATAGTGGAGATAGTCGTGTGGCGAGGAGTAGATGAGAA